TCAAATATTCTGCTTCACTTTCCTGTTTCATGGCAAACTATAATATGATCTGACATCCAAACTGAAACATTGTGATTGCTCGCCCTCAAAACAAACTACAGATTGAGAGCCATTTTGGTGTAGTGGTTAAGTGTGCAGACTCTAATCTGGGTTTGATTCCCCACTCCTCCACTTGCACCTGCTGGATGACCTTGGGCAAGCCATAGTTCTGTCAGAGCAGTTCTTGAAAAATAGCAATTTCTGTCAGAACTCTCTCAGCCCCACCTACCTCACAGGGTGTCTGTTATGGGGAGGGGAAGGGAAAGGAGATTGTAAGCCCCTCTGAGACTCCCTTGGGTAGTGAAGGGTGGGGTATAAATCCAATATCCTCCTCCTCCTCTTCTTCTTCTTCCTCAGAGTTTGCCAGTTAATGGCCTCATAACTGGAAGGGAGGGAAGGAGTTGTAGTACAAGACAGGAAGCAAACAAGACAGTATATGAGCCTGATACTCATTCCTGTAACACCAAGACATGATCTAGCATTACATCTGAACCAGGATGGTGACTCCTGCAACAATGTTACCATTGAGTTTCACATCTGAGTAGGGATTTCAATTGGAGTAATCCATTAATCACCCCCATCCTTATTTCCCGATGTAACAAATGTAGAGAATTTTTAGCATAGCCCTTTAATGGAGCACAATGTCAAAGGCTACAACTGGCACCCATAGTTTTGTGTGACATAAGCCCTTTTGGGCAAACACATTAAGTTGCCTTTCACGTTGCCTTAAAAATCCACCTGCATTACCCAATATTAGCACGTGTTTTTCTCGTGTTCAAACTTCATAAACATCCCACGGCTGTTTAATATCTTCCTTGTTTTTTCTACCCATTCTTAATAAAACTGATTTCTCCAGCACTTTTTTTCCCCTAAGCAAAATTCTCAACAAAGCCTCTGCTCATAATCTGAACTGAAATGTTCACATTGGTGACTTCTGGAACACCCCACCCAGAAATCATCAGATGGGTTTGGGTGTTTGTTTGTTTTTAAAATTTGCATCCCAGTGGAGAAACATTTCAAGGATGGAAGGTGCCTGCTTTGAAATATGCAGTCATTCACATTAGGGGCGCCTTCCTCTGTGTGTGTGTGCGCACGCGTGTCTGGTCTCCTCTCTCCGCCTCTCCTCTGCAGCCTAGAAAGCCTGCATCATGTCCTCCTTTTGCTTTACACTCTCATGTAAGAGCCTTCCATGAGATTGCCTCTTGACCCTTCGCACCTTTCTCCCTAGTGGGGAAAACTCTTCTTCTTTTTGTTGTTGTTCAGTCGCACATTCGAATCTGACTCTTCGCGACCCGATGGACCACATCATGCCAGGCCCTCCTGTCTTCCATCATCCTCCGGAGTCTGCTTAATTTCATGTTTGTTGCATCAATAACACTGTCTAACCATCTCATCCTTTGCTGTCCCCTTCAAACCGGAACCAGTTTGCTGTAGTGGTTAAGTGTGCAGACTCTAATCTCCTCCACTCGCAGCTGCTGGATGCCCTTGGGCAAGGCATAGCTCTGTCAGAGCTGTTCTTGAAAAAGAGCAGTTTATGTCAGAGTTCTCTCAGCCCACCCACCTCACAGGGTGTCTGTTGTGGGGAGGGGAAGGGAAAGGAGTTTGTAAGCCGCTCTGAGACTCCAAGTGAAGGGCGGGGTATAAATCCAATCTTCTTCTTCTTCTTCCTTCAGTCTTTCCAAGCATCAGGTCTTCTCCAGTGAGTGGTCCCTTCTCATTTGAGCTTCAGCTTCATTATCTGGCCTTCCAGGGAACAGTCAGGGTTGATTTCTTTTAGAATTGACTGATTTGATCTCTTTGCAGTCCAAGGGACTCTCAAGAATCTTCTCCAGCACCATAGTTCAAAAGAATCTGTTCTTCGGCGCTCGCTCTTCCTTATGGTCTAACTCTCGCAGCCATACATTACTACTGGGAATACCATTGCTTTGACCATACAGACTTTGGTTGGCAGGGCGATATCTCTACTTTTTATTATGCTGTCTAGGTTTGCCATCGCTTTCCTCCCAAGGAGCAGGCATCTTTTAATTTATTTATTTATTTATTTAATTCAATTTATACCCCGCCCTCCCCGCAATGCGGGCTCAGGGCGGCTTACATAGGGGCAAACGGCAATATAAAACATAATTAAAACCATTTAAAATCCAACAGTACAAAAACATTCATAACATTCATAAAATCCAACAGTACAAAAACATTTCATGGCTGCAGTCACCGTTTCCAGTGATCTTGGATCCCAGGAACGTGAATTCTGTCACTGCTTCCATGACTTCCCCTTCTCTTTCAGGACTTCCCATAGTTTGTTGTGATCCACACGATCGAAGGCTTTAGCATAGTCAATGAAGCAGAAGTAGATGTTTTTCTGGAACTCCCTTGCTTTTTCTATAATCCAGCAAATATTGGCAATTTGATCTCTGGTTCCTCTACCTCTTTGAAACTCAGTTTGTACTTCTGGCAATTCTCTACCCACATACTGCTGAAGCCTAGCCTGTAGGATTTGAGCATGTCCTTGCTAGCATGTGAAATGAGTGCAATTGTGTGATAATTTGAACATTCCTTGGCATTGCCTTTCTTTGGGATTGGAATGTAAACTGACTTTTTCCAATCATGTGGCCACTGGTGCGTTTTCCAAATTTTCTGGCAAATTGAGTGCAGCACTTTAACAGCATCATCTTTTAAGACTTTGAATAGCTCAGCTGGGATTCCATCACCTCTGCTAGCTTTGTTGGTAGTAATGCTTTCTAGGGTCCATTTGACTTCGCACTCCAGGATGTCTGGCTTGAGGTCAGTGATCACACCGTCGTGGTTGTCATGGACATTAAGGTCCTTCTTGTATAGTTCTTCTGTGTATTCTTGCCACCTCTTCCTAATCTCCTCTGCTTCTGTTAGGTCCCTACCGTTTTTGTCCTTTATCACGGCCAGCTTTGCATGGAACTCTCCTTTGATTTTTCCAGTTTTCTTGACGAGATCTCTAGTCCTTCCCGTTCTATTGTTTTCCCCTATTTCTTTGCATTGTTCATTCAGGAAAGCCTCCTTATCTCTCCTTGCTGTTCTCTGGAAATCTGCATTCAGTTGGACCGATTTCACACAAGAGCTGTGCCGCAGTTGTGCCTCCCTTTGCCCCGCTTCTATTGGTCAATCTCCCACTTGAAGGCGTGGCCACATTTTGACTTGCGGCTTCGCCCGATTTTCCCCATGGTTTCGTGATCCTCAAAAAACAGAATCACGAAACCGCAGGGAAAATCGGGCGAAGCTGCGGGTCAAAATGCGGCCGTGCAGCTTCAAGTGGGAAATTGACCAATAGAAGCAGAGCAAAGGGGGCGCAGCTCTTGTGTGAAATCGGTCACAGGTAAATCTTTCCTTTTCACCTTTGCCTTTCGCTTTCCTTCTTTCCTCAGCTATGTGTAAAGCCTCATCAGACAGCCACTTTGCTTTATTGCGTTTCTTTTTCTTTGGGATGATTGCTGCCTCCTGTACAATGTCAAAAACCTCCATCCATAGCACTCTGTCTATCAAATCTAGTCCCCTAAACCTATTCTTCACCTCCACTGTATATTCATCAGGGATGTGATCTAGGTCAAACCTGAATGGCTTAGTGGTTTTCCAAACTTTCTTCAGTTTAAACCTGAATTTTGCAATGAGTAGCTCATGACCTGAGCCAGTCAGCTCCAGGTCTTGTTTTTACTGACTGTGTAGAGCTTCTCCATCTTTGACTGCAAATGACATAATCAATCTGTATTTGATGTTGCCCATCTGATGATGTCCATGTGTAGAGTCACCTCTTTTTGTTACATTCTTTTAATGTTTTTAGTCTTAAAGTGTCAGGAGCAGGGAGTTACTGCTTCAGAGTCGCTGTCTGAGAGCCTCCCATGATTTATTTATTTATTTATTTATATTTATTTATTATTTATATTTACATCCTGCCCTCCCCGTAGGCTCAGGGCGGCTTACATGGTATGTTGCTGAGACATACAATAAAACAGTAAAAGCATTAAAATATTAAATAGCATTAACACACTTAAAACATCATACAAATACAACAGTAATTGGTGCTCGCCTCCGAAACCAGATGGTCGTCAAAAGTCCCGTTCTCTTTCAGAGTGTCCACATCTGATAACCCTGTCCACAAGCTTGGGGCGTAGATAATAATGATGGCATGATGATGGTGATGGTGGCGGCTCCTATTCAAACGCCTGGCGGAAGAGCTCC